TAACTTGCAAAAGTTTGCATATTTTGGTAATGTTAGCCACAATGATCACCCAGATATTGGCAGCATTAAGGGCTTGAATTTAAGGCAGCTCGTCTTGGTTTTCAACTTTCACCTGGACCCACGTGAGCTGAATAACTCACATGATGTCTCTGATGTCTCACAAATGATTCATAGCTTTCCCCTGTGACTCTTAATGACTCACAGGATGACAGAGTGGGTCAGACGTTTCCAAGGCGAGATTGCCAATAGGGGTTAATATCAGGCACTCTGCATGAACTTCTAGAGTTTTTGGTAGTAGTGTCCAGTCGAGAAGAAAAAGACTGGCATGGTATTCCAAACCACTGACCTTAACAGCTATGGGAAGTGCTACCGTAGTAAAAAAAAAAAACCAAACAAACCAAAAAAACAAAAAGGAGAAACTCTAATGGTTGCTTCTGCAACCATTAGAGTTTCTTCCCAGTGAACGAATCTCAGTACTTACAGTTTACATCACGGGCATGAATGTCATGGTAATTTGGGGTTTTTAATGACTTCTTTGAACTGTTCTTTTTCCAGGGTGGAAAGAGTATACATCTTTCTGACTTTAGAAAAACAAGAATTGGTGTGCAAAAGTATTTGGGTGTATTTTATCTTTTTTATCATCTTCTTATGAGATTTGTTTTCTTTCTATGGACAATAGGTCATAGGAGATTGATTTAAAATACATACCGGCTCAAATAAATACACACACTCACTTAAATCTTTTAATAAGTGGTGCTGAAGGACCTACAATGTCTTTTAACTTGTCAAGGCCAAGGCCTATAACCTTCTCATTAGTGATCATGATTGCTACAACAGGTAACTTCTCTTTACTACCATAAAAAGAATTTGTTTGACACTCATAGGATTGACCAATACTCGGGACGATGGAAAGGTCCAAGGCCACCAAAAAGCCCAAAATACCAAAGATTTGGCCAAAGGTGCAATACTGAGGTGCAACTTGCTAAGAGACATTTAATCAATTATTAGTCGGGATGTGAATGTATTTGGGCCTGCATGCATACATTTGAACCTGTGTAGAGAAAATCCAAAATAAATTCAAACTTGTTCACCAATTCTTGTTTATTTTATTGATTGATTGATTTAAATCATCAAAGATGTATGCTGCACAGTCATTCCACCCTGAGAAAAGAACAGCTTGTGTTTAAACTTCTGAGCACAACTGAAATTGTTCATGAAAGCAGAGATTGAGATATGCTGACCCATCCTGAATGTGTGGTGAGACCGTTCAAACATCCACCAAGAGAGAAAATACACATAAGGTATAGGTTTAAAAACTGCTCATGAGATATGACATTTAACTTAAATGTCATGTCTAAAGTTTGGCATTTCATACAGCAGACCATATTCCCTGTGGTATTGTTTTCCACTGAACCCTGCTGCTTTGAGTCAGTCCATGTTACCAGTTTTAGAAAATGTGGATGAGGCCTCAGCGCTCTTTTGTGGGAAACTTTCATCATTCATCATTTCACTTTCACCACAGCCTATTTGTCTGGTTGTGTTTAGCATTAAGAGCAAAGTAATTTTGTCCAATCACGCTGTGCAGTCTGCATTTAGTCATGAGAAAATCATGCACACGTGGATCTGTTTCCACACTCCCGTAGTGCACAGCGAGACCTTCAGAGAATAAAAATGAAAAGATAGCATGACTGAACAAAGCGAGAAGACACAAGAAATAACACAACTGTGAGAAGTGTGAAGTCATACTTACTAAATATTTTTATGTATAAAAGGTTGTCATAAATGTTTATATCAACCTATCATACGAGCCTTGAACTTGACCTCCGGGTACAAAGAACCACTTTATGGCACTTTAATTGTAATCTGCTATCTATATCTGATAGCGGTTAACATTTGACCACCACAAGCAGCTGTTTTTTGGACACATGTACAAATGTCTGTTGTGATTTAACCACAATTCTCATGTTAGCTGTTGTTTATAACTGTTTGTAAAACCTTACTAGACCAACTGGCATGCATCAGCAGCATGCTAGTGTTTTATGGGAACAATTAACTGGAAAATAAAAAGTGGGTTGGGTCTACTAGCCATTTCATTTGGGGCTAGCTCATGAGCACCATATGCTACACCCTGAACTGCAGCCAGTTTCTTTAGACTGCTGTGGAGTTATTAGTACAAAACAAATTTCACAGCAGTTGGTGATGTAATCACAACCTTTAATCTTTTGATTTGTGTTGCTGAACAAAACTATTCTTATCTACAAAACAATCCAAATTTGGAGGTCAGGGAGGAGGAGGGTGTGGATGACGACTAGGTCATCTCAACTTTGATGCTATGTTCCGGCTTTTCACGAAGTTTCATGAAGTTCAGCTTTAGTTTGGGAGTTGACCGACAGTTTGTCAATTTTTTTTTAGAATAATCAGCAGAGAAACATATTGTCACTAAATATGATCCTATTAGTTAATAGTTTTTCAGTATAAAGTTCTTCTCTTCTACATTTTTTGTCATATTTTACTTTTTCCTTGCTAATTGTATCTGACACCTGTGGAGAATATTATTTCATCCAAAGTACTTTAAATGTTTATTGAATACAATGCATAGTCAAAGTCTAAAGTGGGGTCTTTAGATCTTTTTGGCTTAGGACCTTCTTCTCATGTTTCGGATCTCCTTTAGTTTTTAACAAAGAGACGTTTCCCTACAAACTTCCCATGCGGTTTCATTTAACCACACGCCACAAGAATTTGAGGCACAAAGATGTAAAGTTATCCCATCTGGACGTAATTTTTACAAACTAAAAGATTACAGAAGTTGGCACAATCCTCCAACAAGAGTGGGGAACCTAACCCCAATGTGGTGAACCAGAACAACCATTGGCATCGTGGCAAACAGAGGTGGTTTGAAGTCACCTCAGATCATAGAAGTAAATCAACGAGTTGCTAAAGACAGTTTGGACGTATTGGTTACTTGATTTGCACAGTTCCTATACGCTTGGGCTCTCTGAAAAGTCGCACAGCATGCATATATTAGAAACACATGCTTGTCTGACAGGGTGAACGGGTTGTGGAGCACAGACTTAAGATCTGGAATGAGATTGTATGCTTCTTATTAACCTGCGGCCGCTTCATCCCTCCATTAAACACTCCCCCCATTACCCCTCCGCGCTTCCTCTCAATATTCACCTGATATTGTTTTTCCTGTTTTCTTAGCATCTCTTAAAATCTCTTGATTCTACCATTCTTCTTCTACTCTTCATCTCCATCCTTATTTATTAGCTCTGTGATTTAGCTCCTTGCCCTCCTACTTGCTGCTCGGTGAGAATCTAGTAGAAGGTAAACCGTGTTGAGGTTAAAATTGAATGTTCTCCACATTTCCAAAGAGAAACTGGGATCAGCCCTAACACTTACAATGCCTTCAAAAGACTTTAAGCTAATTCTTAGCTTATTCGATCTGTGACTGTGTCTCAACCACTGAAATGTTTACCACAGCAAAGAAGTACTTCTTAACACTTTGGGCCTTCAAGTAAACTAAGGAGCATGAGAATATATAGTGTGTGTACAGTGATACGTTACAATGTATACCATCTATGACTTTGTGTTTAAACTGTGCAGTTCAATCTTACCACCTTACAGAGATAGTAGCATTTTAATATTTTGGGCTTCAAACTGTTGCCACAATGGACAAAAAAGCCTTACTTACATTAAATAATACAATAATAACCCTAACCCTTAAGTTTAGGGAAAAAAATCACAAAAATGTGAAAACTGCGAAACTTGCTTTGGGATGGATTTAGAAGTTTCCCTCCAAGTTACTTGAAAATGTAAAATTCCCACCTTGAAATAGTTCGAAATTGCTAGGGCATTGATAGTGTGGTGAGTTTTTGAATATTGTTTCAGAAGATAAATATTTAAATGAGGAATGGTGAAAACTCATTTTTAAAAGCAGATTTAATTTCCCTGTTGTCCATTCAAGATCAGGTCCTGTTTGTACACTGTTGTATAATCTTAATATTTTCCAGCTTTAGCCAGTGCTCGCTATGAAGATGTTTGGCAGCCTGCTAGAGAATTAAGGGGGTATCTAGGCTCTAAGCAAAGATAGATTTAAAGAAATCGGAATACCTTTTGATTAATAACATTTTATCAATATGAGATACAGTAAAGCAGGCTAATCTGGAGTTGCAGTTGGTAATGGTTACTTCTTATAGTACTTCCATTTATTGATGCACCAATATTATTATCATGTTGCCTTCAAGCAGAAAAAAGCTGAAAATGTTTGTAGATTAAACCTCACTAAGTAAAACAGTAGAAATCCTTGATACAGTGTTTTTAATTTCCTGTTTTGTTTTTTCTTTTTTGTATGAGTTAGAAAGGGTTATTCTTCGAAATTACTAAAGTTGAGTTATTTTTTTTAATCAAGCAGTTTTATACCAAGATTGGCCCCAATAAACCTTATAAACAGGCTCATCTAGAGCCACAGAAGACTTAGTATAAAATATGCAATGTAATTTAGGTTTGTTGTTATGACAAATGCAGGCTTCCTGTGTTAAACTTGTGGATTTCCCCCTTTTTTAAAAGGTCAGGTTGTGTCTGCAGAGATTTAATGAGCTTTCACTGTGCAAAGATCTCAAGGTCAACAGACAAAAAGGGCATCACAATAGGTTTTTGTAATAAAAGGCTAAGAATAAAAATAAATACAGGCTTAAGACTAGTGAAAACAAATGAACGCGCTGACTTTTTTGACAAGAAACATGGTCTCTTTCTTTATCTTGTTACACAGTGATAAAAGCAAAGCTCACAGCTGAATTCTCTGTTTTTGCTTTTGAAGATTTTTTTTGCCTTTAAGTAGTTGATGGTTGGTTGGCAATGGTCAGAGATTGCATGTCAGTGGAGATTTTTGTTTTGTTTTTTTAGTTTGAAGACCATCTGGTACCTGTTGATTAATGGCTTGTGTTTCTATAGGTATTTTTGTGTCCTCTGTATCCTTTAACCATCTCTTTTCTCTGCAGGGGGATCACACGTGGGCCACCATGTTGGGACAGAGCGTGCGGTTACAGCCAGTTCCCATCCAGAGCCTATCGGAGCTGGAGCGAGCCAGGTTACAGGAAGTCGCTTTGTACCACCTGGAGGAGAGGGACCTGGACTTCAAGATCAGCATCCCTAAAGGTAAGGGGGAAGGACAGAGATGGTGTTTCTAAAGGATCTGATGGTGGTTGAGTGTAAACTGATTTCTTAACTCGATTCCTCAATATTTTCCAAAGTACTTCCATTTTTTATTAGCACTCATATACTACCTTTATTGATTTGGAGGCTCGAATATTCAAGATTTAAAAAAAAAAAATGTTAGTTTAAGGCATACATATTTGATCTTTACCCGAAAGAATTTGGACTGATGGAATCTGGGACTAAACAAAAATGGGCGTCATGGGAGTTGAACCTTTGTCTGCCATATCATCCTGAGTACTGGCCTATTCATTTATGCCCTCTGTAATGGGAATTTGTTTTTAGTCTGTATCTTCTGACTTGTTTGAACTACCCTACTAACTCCTGAGGCACTAAACAGAGGACATCCTGGGCTTTATATTAATATGTCATGTGTTTGGGTGGCTTCTTTTAGCTCCAAAGAGGCAGGAAATCATAAATAAAGTTAAATAGGAATATTCTTTCGTCCTTGGTTCTCAGGAGGATATAAAAGTCTTGAGGATTATCCTTCTTAGTCACATCTACCTCCTTATTACCTTGGTTTCATAGTATTAGGTTTTACTGGTTTTGAGGCATCAAAGGATTTGGTTTGATTTTTTTAATAAAAAAAAGCAGCATTATTTGAGTTAAAAGACACCCTTCGTTACATTGACCATCATGGAAGGATAACCTGTAATTTCTGGGTTTCCAGGCTGCCAAGTCCTACATCGGCTTACGTTTTATTGGTTTACTGAAAATGGGCAACTTTAGAAAAGCTAAACTATAAATAGTAAATAAGTTACTTAAGTAATTGTGAAACATAACAAATAACCCCAATCTGAGAGAAAATCAGTTTCCTCTGACACATAATTGAGAATGCTGTTAAGTCACATGCGAAAGTAATTGTTTGGAAATGGGCCTAAACTTTGTGTAACTTGCATAGACATGTGATAGCCAGAGTTCAAGTGTTGCCAGAGTATGTTTTGTGTTTCTGTTGATTTCTGAAATAGCATTTAAGTTGCAAATCAGTTTTTAAATTTGGCACAATCCCCTGTAGGGAAGGCAAGGAGGTAAAGACACTTCACCCGTTGCCTACTGGTGGTGGTCAGAGGGCCTGGTGGTGCCAGTGTCCGGCAGCCTCGCCTCTGTCAGTGTGCCCCAGGGTGGCTGTGGCTACAATGTAGCTTGCCATCACCAGTGTGTGAATGTGTGTGTGAATGGGTGGATGACTGGATATGTAAAGCGCTTTGGGGTCCTTAGGGACTAGTAAAGCGCTATATAAATACAGGCCATTTACCAAAGGTTTAAAAACATGAAAAAATGCTATGTCCGACCATTAAATTCATAGGGACAGGGCATGATAGTTACTCCATTACAATAGCTTCCCAGAATAGTGAAACTGATGAAGGACAACTTTGTTTTTGTCACCATTGCTGCCAATTTAATGCAGTTAAATTTCATTAGTCAGTCTTAGTGGTGAGGCGGATTGGTCGTCATGAGGTTTGAGAATAAAAGTTCACGATGACCTGGTGAGTATGGCGCCAGTTTGGTTAGCCACACTCAGCCAAACTTAGACTGAACTGCCCTAAAGCAAAAACAACAACTCAGTCTGCCAGGGGAGCCATAACAGCTTGTCTGTGAATCTGAGGAATGAGCATAAAGCAGGAAGACATTAAGGATCATCTGGAGCGGAATCCAGGGTGTCAGATTGATAAGGAAGGGGAAAGGGAGGCAACGTGATTTCTGTTAATTGACTCTTTATCTCAAATAGCATTGGATAGGGTCATGATTTGTCTTTTTTCCCACCCTAGGGGTGATGATATGAGATAGCTGGGTAATATTCACTTCTTAAACCACCGACCAGTACTGCTGTTTCCAAGTCATAGTCTAGCTGGTATTGTTTTGTTTCTGATTTTAAACTTGTGCAGCTGTCCTGGTGTGAGTCATTATGGCAAAATGTGCTATGGGAGACACCTGTTGCAGCAGGAACTCCCACAATTGTGGACGAATTGTTGAATGTTAATACAATTGATTTATGCAGTAGTGTTGCATAAACACTGCTTTTACAGGGGTGTGGGTTTTCCAGATATGGCTATTTAGTTTTCGTGTAACAATGTAAAAATGGTGACTGATGAAGCATAGGTTCAAATGTCAGCACATTAACAGGGGTTGTAACCTGTGCGTTGTTGAGATGGTCATTGTCGTTCCACCAAGTATGTGGCTAGAGACTTGGCACACATGTAGTACACCTTATGGGTTACTTGTAATTTAATGAATTAGTTCTTCCAAACTATACATGACTATTTGATATTTGTGCATATATATTTCCATTTTCACTTTCTCACGATTTCGTTCCCCGCCCTCATTTATACCTCATCCTCTTCCTTGACTCAAACTTCCTCTCCTGAACTGACACATAAACACGCATAAATATTTTTATTTGTTCCTAATATTGTGGCAGTTACTTCTTTTCAGCAGATGTGACGGCTGAAAAGAAGCCAGCTAACCAACAATAAAAGCTGGTTATAAGCTAACATTAGCTAATGCTAGCTAACATTACCTAAAATTATGCCAGCTAACGTTAGGCTCGAGTAGCTTAAAAATCACACTTTACCTCTTATAAAAAGTTACATTCTCACATTGCATCAGTTTATTGAGTGAGTATCCGGATACAATAAGGTTTGATCTATTTCAAAGAAAGTTTCACCAGTGCTGGCTAAAAGCAGCTAACAGTAACAAAAACAACAGCTAACAGCAGCTCTTAGCAAGAGAAAAGTTAGCGACTCACGTCAGTATCGCTGTCATCAGACAGAACAAAAAAGACATGGACACAAATTGTTGACTAATGGAAACATTAGACTGACAGGCTATACTTACTTACAGAGGAAGGTACCCACTGTGTCAAGGGTTATGGACTTGAATTGGGAGGAGTAAGAAAACCAAATTACAGTGCAATCTGCTGTACACTGACATATACTGTTGATATTTTACAAACTGTATCTGAACTGAATTGTAAAGGTGGTGGTGAAGGAGACAAAGTGATATAGCAGTGTTTCATGTAGTTTAAATTAATTCTTGCCACACTGAGTTGCCCAAATTCAGGCTTTGGTGGTGCTTGGTTTTCTTAGTCTTACATCAGACCTACATGCAAATCTTGTGTACCCTTTTGAACTCTGAAGGACTCAAGCCATCTAATAAAGTGGGCTAGATTCACTAATAAACTGCAAATTCCTCACACACCTCACAGATTGCAGACCAGGAGGTTTCCTCTTGTGTTTATTGAGGCCTAGGGTCAGTGAGGTCAGGAGGATCACTGGGGCTGATGCTGAGGAAATATGGAAATATTCAACTGGTGTCTTTGTATGATCAGGATCTGTTGGTGGCTTTTCGCCTGTGAGACCAGCTGGTATGTAAGCCTCTTTTCTCAGACTCAGAAGCTCTCTTCCATACTACTGTTCTCTTGCAGGGTTATTAACCCTTCAACCTCCTCAACTTTGACTACGTCACTGATTGAGGCTGGGTATACTTAAGTTTTCAAATAAACAGTGGAGCTCAATTATATCAAGGGCTTTACAATTCCCCTTGAGTATAAAATTTACAATTGGGATACGACCACTTTACTTCTGCAACTTTTCACAATGCATGCATGCACCAAAATGGGCCTACAGGCCCTTGTGGAGATTTTTTGTAAACAAAATTCCTGTGTTAATGAAAAAAAAGAAGTGTAATTTAATTCACCTTAATTTCATGCCTAAAATTATCCAAAGCACGAGTGGGGAATTCATTTTTCCAATGGCCCACATAAGAAGCTTGGACTGTTGTAGAGAGCCGCACTTATCTGAGCGGCCCTCCACAACAGTCCCAGTTTCTTACAACATAATAGGACTATTTAACTATTTACAATCCACACATGAATACATGGGGAAAAAAATTCTCCCATTTTCTGCGTCGTTTAAAGTCCCATGAGGTTTTTATAGGTTCCACTACATGAGACCTTCTGAATTAGCTGCTTTAACTTGAGCATATTTAAATAAAACACCTGCATTGCCCTTTTTACCTGCAGGTTTTACACTGGCCTCGTGTTCTAGCTGTGATTCAATCTTCACATAAACGATGGATGTGGCTGCCTGAAAATCGCCATAAACGTAAATTCTGTGGTTGCCAAAACAAACCCAGCTGCACAGAAATATAGACAAAATCATCTCTCTGCCTCCTCGCCCTTCATCTCAGTAAACTTTCTCAATGAGTTTACTGTCTCAGTTGTTATTTAGTCTTATTTAATAAAATATTTGTTCATTTAGTAAATTGTGGTCACTATTAGAATGAAATAGAGGAAAAACAGGATACGCAAACAGGTGCATCTAACGATAACCAAATGGCTAACTCTTGGTTGGTCAGATTCAAAAATGCCCAGCATGAGATTTTCTGTCAGGATCTCTTTATTCATCAGGAGACATCAAGTGGCAATCTTTTAAAGTCTATTGACTGCATTGGAGAACTGGTAACACCAGCTGCACTATCTTTTAATATTCACTTAACAAATAAATATGCTCAAATATATGATGTATGATTTCTTTTCTCTAAATGGATCGGATTGAATGTTTAAAGTTTGCAAGGTGTCAGTTCTCTTTTCTCATTAAATTTGCCGGTCCGTGCTGCAGCTCAACAGATTCAAAGTGTGCCTTCTAAGTTGTATTTTTTTTTTGTTTTCCTCACTCATTGTTTGTAGCGGTGACAACATAAGGAGAGAGGAACCCAGCACTGGACAGAAACGTTCAAGACGTCTGTGGATGTTTAAACTTTCTGCATTTGACTGATCTACAAAGTTCAGGACCTTTTGTTGGAGGTCTTTAGATGTTTAAATCAGCTTTAAAAGTTTCGAACGTGTGGGTGTTTTGGTTGTTCACCGAAGTATCTGGGTATCTGTACATACAAGGCTTTGTTTGAAGGTCTAGTCGCTCGCTAGATGTCCACTCTCTGGATGT